GTAATGGTTTGCGAAACTTACGGCAGGTTTTTCGTCATTCTGCCGGTGGAACGTTCTATCGCAAAAGGGGTGCCCTAATTCCGACCTAGTATCTAACAAAGGCCAATCTGAGGAGAGAGTTAGGTATCTAAAATACACAAATTATGACTAAAACAATCTATAACTATTTTTCTGTCCCAAACAAGTCTTCTTTGTACCATTACGCTACTTGCTCCAAAGCGGCTGTTTCAAAATCAAAGCTGCGTTTTTTAACACGCTCGTCAACCCCCGAACAAGCGTCGAATTTATACAGATTTTTCAATCGTCTGTTATCGGAGCGTGCGAACTGGAACAAACTTTGTGAGAATACCGATATCAACACAGAAACTTTGTCCATTCTTGTGGTTATTTATAGGTACGTGCTCCCATGCATAGCGCGGCGACAAGGATTTTTCAAACTGGTACGGAATTAGGGGTAGGTCGGAATTAGGACACCCCCCGTTAACGTAATCTAGACCCAACTCCCTCACGCAGTCATTACCTGTAAGGTTTCCAGAGCTAAGAGCCGCACAAATGACTGTTTGTGGCTTATCCACCGAAGTGGAGTGATTATAGCCGTAAAGGTTGACGTTTTTTGCCCCTAAAAGCTGTGGATAAACGCCGGCAGCCCTCCCCACCGCTAGCTATCCCTCACTGTAGCAGCTGATACCCCGACCAATAGCAGCGTGGAGCTTGCTGAGAAATTGACCAATAGCGGCGTGGCCGTCTTTCGTGGCCGTCCTACCATATTCTAGACCAAGCCATACCTCATCTCTTCTCCCGGTTGAATTTCGTCGCTGGAATGTTACTTCAAAACGAGGCTGGTTTTGTGAATGACCCGAAATGGACGATTTCATCTTTTGAAGGGGTGTCGCGAATAGCACAAAATTATATAAACCCCTTACATCCAGCAATCTATACTTTTTTTATCCACAAAAGAAGACAAACATATCGCATAAATTTTACTGTTTATAGATATAAATCTCAAAAGCAAGTAAAAGATACCTGAATTGCTGATACTATTGAATGGAACCTTCTGTTGACCTTTTCCTCACACGGCTATCGTCTGACATGCTAACGTGAAGATGTGCGAAGTGAAGATTTGGTCAGTGTAAACGTAACTTTTGGCAAGCACTAGCCTTGACAGGTTAAAGGAGGAACCTAACATAACTGTAATTTACCTGTTGTAGTTAACGTGACCAGCGCAAACGGGACAGGGCGGGAAGATTTTGTTTTTTTATAGACGACGCCATGTGGCGGGAAAATTTGTATTTTGATGCATGATGTCTCGAAGCAAGAAAATTCAATTTCCTGTTACTTAGCCTGTTACACAAATTTGCACAACTTGGATTAACAGTTATCTCCCCGCTGATTTCAGACGTATTGATGAGTCATGGCCAGTAATGACAATAATAGCTCGGTAGAAGAGAGGACAGCAGAAGAGGCAGTGACGGTGCCCCCCAATCCAGTGGACATGGAAGCGGCATCTCAGGTAACACAGATATCTTTCTATCATGTGTGGGTCTAGGTACAACTGATGATAATGTGATTTTGACAAATTGACATTGTTTTGTTTTGTTTTGTTAAGTAAGTATCTGTCTATTTCTTCAGGCAGATACCCGAAAGCCTCCAAACACCCAACAAAGCAATGGCAGGCAGAGTTCTCCCACAGTACCACCATCAACTGATGTGAACAGAAACAGAGTTGAAGCAAGTAAAGCTGACAGATCACTCAGTCAGACAGGGTCTGCTGTCGTTGGGAACCTGTGCTCCGCTGAAGGGGTTGATGTCATGGATAAAGATGAGGACATTGTGATGATACCTCAGGGGCAGATGGAGGAAGAGCAAGACAACCATGCTGTGAACAAGGTTTAGAACATTACATATATAGATTGGCTTGTAAATGAATTCATGTTTTTAAACACATTGTCAAAAGTTGCAGCTACTTTAGTACACCACCACAGTATGTAGTCTGCAAGTTTCTTAAGGAGATAGCAGAGTGTTTGTACATCTATGTTATATAAGTTATAGATGAAAATCTACTAGTACTATATAATTACTCTATAATTACTCTATAATTGCAAGAGTTATCTTCTTTCCTG